TAAAGAAGACAAGATATACGTGGTTCACCCTTAATGAATGGGCTACGTCCACGGAGAAGTATTCTCTCATTATAATGGTGTATGATTACATTTGTACATGGGGTTGGACCTGAATATAAAGATGACAAGTGAGATGCCCAGGCCAGGGATCTAGGAGAGAGTCCCTAGCCCTAGGGTCTAGCTCTGAGACCCGGATCCTCTTCTAAGTGGGGAGAGGAAGTCCCCTTTTCACATGGATACTATTCCCTATTTATAGGGAGGGGAAAGTGGGAGGGTTGTGTAGATTTCCGATGTGGGACTTTGCACAAGTCACTGTGGTGGTGACACGTGTCATGGTGTTGATGCTCTTGGTGCTAGTTGCTTTGATGCTGGATATGCTCGGTTGATTATGGTGTAAACAGTTGGACTTGTATGCCAAGTGCGGGGAATTGGAAAACTCGGTACTTGGGGTGCAACGAGGATGTTGGATTATTCGGCGAAATGCACCCTGCCGGTGCTGAGATACTAAGAAGCCTTGTTGATGCATTTGCAAACCTAGGTGCTCTCAAGTTAGGAAAAGGAATTCATGGCTATATCCATAATAAACATGTACATAAGATGTGGTCGCATATCTACAGCTAGAGTATGCTTCAGTAGAATGTTGTTGATCAGAGATATAGTGGCATGGACATAAATGATTGAGTGCTATTAGGGGTGGCAATTTTCGATACGACCTGATACACAATAGGAAGATTACAAAATAGGAAGCCTTGACACTGTTTGATCTTGTGGATGGCTCATACCATCACTATGAGCTGAGCCCCTCAGAAAGAGCCATACGACATGAGATGCTAACACCTTCATACAAATACCGAGCCGAGCATGTACAAAATACCCTCTGTCTCAAACGAGTAAAACCTCATGGGAGAGGCATGGCTATTCAAGGGTTACACATATGGTCGATTAGATAGGACCGACTCGACCACGATGGCACCATGGCCAACTAAAAGCTACATTTATTGAAGCCTGAAAGGTCGGTTCTGACACCATCCCATCCTTAAAACAAGTGTCGCCTTACGCTTTGGTCTCCGAATAAATATGCTGGCGATGGAGAGGGATCATTTAATCCACCTCCCATCTAGGTCCACCTGTCACTGCTTCACCTAGTTCCTGTCAGAAAGTAGGATGATCAGAAACAGAGCAATAAATGTAAACTTAGCTCAGGGGGATAGGAAGAAAGATCTCTTTCATAAAATATCTTAGGTCTTCCTTCTCCCCTTATAAATACTCTCCACCTATCTCTGGACAAAAGTAATAAATCATCTCATTGTAAAAACCCTACATCCATTCTCTCTCCAGCCCAAGTTAGTTTCTTACTTAACCATCGGAGAGGGTTAGACTGGGATCAGCCCAAGTCCGCCCTTATTCTGATATCGTTCGAAGTGTGCAGATCTTCCCTGGAAGATTATTCATACTCAAATGTCAAATATGGACCCAAGCCCCCAGATAGGGCCTAAGTCATCTATACGAGAAGGATACGCGATTGACAGATCTAATAATAAGAGAAGGAACAAGAACATGAAGATTACAAAACACCAAACCAGAGCACAGCTTAGTGGAGTAACAAGTAACCCTCCCACAAAAACAAATTACATAACAGGAGGGCATGGAAGCCCGTTAAATTGTAAAACTCAAACAAGAGACAGATGAGGCCTACTGGCCCAGTGATCCACACCCGCCGCTCGAACACCAATCCTTGCAGCTTCATGGGCTCCACGATTCAGATTGCGAGGAACCTACGTCCATTTCACCGATTCAAAATGAGAAGTCTCCTAATCTCATTTATAATTGGAAGAATTGTCCCCACCCTGTTACCCAAATTGCCTTTTTTTTTTTTTTTTTTTTTTTTTTTTTTTTTTTTTTTTTTTTTTTTTTTTTTTTTTTTTTTTTTTTTTTTTTTTTTTTTTTTTTTTTTTTTTTTTTTTTTTTTTTTTTTTTTTTTTTTTTTTTTTTTTTTTTTTTTTTTTTTTTCTTTTTTTTTTTTTTTTTTTTTTTTTTTTTTTCCAGATTACCCACATTGCCTTTTAGACCATCCACCAGAGCACGAGAATCCGACTCCATCACAATCTTATGATCGTCCTCCGCTTCCGCCATTAGAGTCGAACCACCTTTTTGGGGATAATCAAGTTTTTGGCGTTGACAGGGACCCTGGGAGTTTACAAATAATCCCCAGCAACGCGCCAAAAACTTATTGTCACCAAATAGTGTGTTTTAAATTTATAAACTCTCATGCGGGATTATAAATTTAAATCACACTATAAATTCTTATAAGTTTTTGGCGCCGTTGCCGGGGATTATTTATAAACTCACAAGCGGGGATAATCAAGTTCTTGGCGCCATTCCAGTGACCTTTGTGAGTTTATAAGAATGAGGTTGTACACATAAGGATTGTGTGAAAAAGATTAAAAACTAATTAAAACTCGAATAAATTCAATTGCGAAAAATGTAAATGACAATAAAGAAAAATAGAGATGAAATTATTGAGAAAAATAACTAAGGTATTAGAATCAATATTATTCCATAAAACTCTAATTATTTACCTATCAATTCCAATGGAAGCAATAATCTAGAAATCATCTACTCTGAGATATATCAATCAAGCATGCAATTTAATAAAACTTCATGTAATTCCCATTCCCTTCATAAGAACAAATTCCAAGCATTGCATGTAAACAAAATTAAACTACAAAGGATCAAAGTTTTCTAAGCGTCCTATATGAAAAAGATTCTTTGAATCACAAGTGATCGAAGGAATTTGTATGCTAAAAATACGAAATCAATGATGCATTACTAGGTTAACCCAAATTCTTAACTACCACAAATACATTATAGAAGCGGTGAAAAGAAAATTAACCTATAAACATTGAGCAACATAACCTTAGTCGAAGAATTTAGCTAGACATACTAACTAAAATCAAAACCAAGAAATTGAAATACATAAAAAGAAATGAGAACTAAGAAAGTTGAAGAACAACTAAAAGAGAGCCAGAATAGCTCTTGGTTCTCCCTCTCTATCCTAGCTCTCTTTGCCCTAAGGCTTGGTGTTCCCTTCTTCTCTTGCTCAGTTCTCTATTTATAGAGACGGAAAGTAGCTAAAGCATCATCACAATTCTTCATCTTCACGTGCCAGCCATGTGCTGCTCTGTTGCTTTCGGTGGCTTGGAAATTGGAATCCCTCATAGTGGAGGGACTCATTATTTGCAATGATGGGAAGAAGACAACCTGGGTGACCTCTTTTTTTGACCGGGTATTATTGTGGCTTCTTTTGGGCATGTGGCTGTTTTTGGATATATTTTCTCTTGGGTGTGAGAGTGATCTTCACTGGTTTGAGCTTTGAGAAAGCATGTACGAGGGGTGTATCCTATTGGATACGGGCTCGGGTTTGGATACAAAACTCTTGAGTAGTTATTCCCGCGAGTCGGGGGATTTGAGCTTATCAGTCACCTTGTTAAGCTTATTATCTGCTTGTAGCCACTCTGGCCTTCTGACAGAAGGTGGTGAGGCTGAAGAAGGATCTATGGGTTTGTTTCTGGGGATAGATACACCATCAAATGGAGGCAGTTTATCAAGTCTTGGAATATTTACGTAGGATGGCTTTGAAAGTAAAAGGATCCAAGGGGAGAAGTCAGAAAAAAGGCGAGGGTGGAGGGGCATTAAGGGCTCAAGGAAGATGGATCTTTAGGTTTGTTTCTGGAGATAGATCACACCATCAAGTTGAGGCGATTTATAGAGTACTGGGATGCAATTTATCAACTTTTGGAGAGCTAATATAATGTGCAGAGTTATTATAACGGACACTCAGAACTTCCACACACCAATCATATCATATCATATCATGGAATTTTATTTATATATATTCCGAAGATCAACATGTTTACTCAGTCGAAGAAAAACCAGATTGAGGGAGCAAATGGGAAAGGCATATATGATCCAAAGTTCGGACAAAGTACATTAAAAATTTTACGGTTCTGGATTCACAGCAAGCACAAGATCATTCATGGTAGATTAAGAGCTTGAGCATGGTGACGGATGTGATCATCTATGAAGGTGGAAATGAAAAAGTACGAATGATCATAACCGGGCTGCAACCGCAAAAGGAGTGGAACTTTAGCACTCCTGCATGCCTCTTCAAACTTGTGTGGCAACAACTGATCATGCAAGAATTTATCATCTCCCCCCTGCACAAAAACCATTAGTATTGAGATAATAAGTTATACATTTTAAGAAATAAAACCTATATTCATCAATTGGAATACTGGACTAAGATTCATTCAGCATCCCTGCTTGAAGGGGATTATTAAAAGAGTAACATGCAGTTCTGTTGTAAATCTAAAATCACATTTTTGAAATGCAGAGGTGACAACCTTTTCTACTTACTGCAAATTAAGAAAAAGAACAATTTTTTTTTTTTTTTTTTGAATGGAGAGGATAAGAAACTCAAATCTTGTTCCTTTATCTGCTAAGGTTCACAAAAGACCTTGATTGCTCAGGAAGAGTTTTCACACCATAGTTCTTGGGTTCAGCTCAATTCCGAAATTTTTTTATCCTGTATTCCTTTGCCAATGTGTCCCTTGGTCAAAATTCCATAAATTATTCCTAATTCAGGTAATGGTCAGGGGGTTTATTTCATATATCCATGTATTCCTTAGCCACTATATCTCTTTTCTTCTCTTTTCTTTGGGTGAAAAGGGGCAGGGGGTTTCTATAGCCAAAATATGAAATATCAATCCATCCTAGCCTACCTGAAACGTAATTTTGAGTGCTAATGATAATCATACACAATGACAAAATATGTTACCCCAAGATGTATTATGAAATAGCAAGGTGATGCAGAACCGAGAAGAAAAACAGAAGAAATAAAAAGAGTCAAAGGGAAATTTCAAGGCTAGTATTATCAATCAATATGACAAAGATTTGAAAGCCATAACAATAAGCCACTTACATAGGTAATCCCAGAATAATTCAATTAAAACAATAATTGGACGTTTGATTCATGACCTTGCACCTATGCCTACAATAATACTCCTTATCAGTTAGAAAAATAATTAAAGCTTCAAGTTGAAATAGAAAAACTAGACAAAATTTGACCATTGCACCTATGCCTAAAATAAGTAAGAATTTCTTCTTGCGTTCACCATCACTAGGTCATATATTCTATCCAACTCTTTTTGTTTATTATTATTATTATTATTATTATTTTAATGGGAATGATTACATGACTGATCCTAATTTTAACTCTTTTTGTCACCCCCTTATCACCTGGCGTAGCCTCATGGGCTATTCTATGCAACAACTCTAATAACAAGAATCAGCCACCTAAAAGCATAAATTCCTGCGACTACGTTGTGATGATCAAAATATTAAATAGTTGGCTCACACCCTAACAAGTAAGAACTTGAGGTTTTAGAAACAGTTGTAAACAACCAAAATTAACAATTGTCATAACAAGAAGAATAACGACGGTGAACATCAGATGACATCAAATCTTACCTGATCAATCAAAATGGTTGCTGAAACATCAGTAAATTTCTTAATCAGGCAAGTGGCATCATATTCCTGCATTTTTTCATTCAATTTGTTAAAACTAGGAAGCAGAACATTATAACTAAGAATTGAATGATTAGATTTCTCAATTTACCTCCCAATCAGTTTTATTGCCTCCTAGGTAATTTGAGAAAGCTTTCTGGCCCCAGGGACAGTTTGTTGGATTCACAATGGGTGCAAAGGCAGATACTGACTGGAAAGGGAGCGAAAAACAATATAAATTTCTTCTATAACGACAAGGAGATCTGTTCCAAATTTTTTATAAAGTTCCCTACATCTAAGGCACTTTTACAGAAGAACCAAACTTTCCAATGCTTTTAAATAAAATTCAACTTCTTTAAAAAAAGAAAAAAGAAAAATCAACTTCCGGTGAAATGTTTAGATCTGTTACCTTATACTTGTCCAGGTTTTTCAGGTAGATTGTCAAAGCACCGTGCCCACCCATAGAATGACCAGATATAGAAGCTCGTGATGTATCAAGCTGTGGAAAATTTTCATTCAGAATTTTCGGCAACTCCTTGACAACATAATCATACATACGCCAGTTCTTCCATTTCTCTTGAGTAGCATTGAGATAAAAACCAGCACCTGTTTGAAAAACGCACGCACACACAAGCACATAAAATTCACTGAAGGCTCTTTACACCTATAAGTACTCACTCACTACCAAGCAAAGCTTGTCCTTCTTGCTAACCGAAAGGTGTTTGCATGCAATAAATTGCTTGATGAAATATAAGTAGTAACATGTCAACGGATAGGTAATCACTAATTAATCATTCACCCTCCACTAAAAAAAGAAAGTAACAAAACTTTCATTTGGAAATTCTGAAGAAATCAGAAAATTTGCTGGAATGAAACCCCAGGTCCTTCAAACAAACATAAATTTATAAATTCCATCACTAAACTATTATTATTGAATATAATAATAGGGTGTCAGTCCAAAGAAGATAGCCTAGATGAAATCTGTAATTACTGAAACTGATACCCTTGGGACTGGGTTTCTTTTTTCCTTCTTACTACAGAATCACTCAGCATCTAACACATCCCATGTCATAATCTGAGTCATCTAGGGATTCATGGTTACTCTCTCTCCAAGTTTAAGATATTATTGACCATTTTAGTTCCCCTTTTTAAAATTTAAAACAAGTAGTGACTCCATTGTCAACCATTCAAAATAAAAAACAACTTAATTTAAAATACAATTGCAAGATATGGGCTATCCATCTTGAGCAAATTGGTAGGATTCACAAATTCCATAGGGCGTGAAACAATTTTCTAATTACTACTTCACAGATTGGAATACAACAGTCCAGTGTTGCATACCTACACCAAAATCCCAGCTCTCCGCCTCTCCTTCTATAGATAAGCCTCCTATTAAGAGAATTTAGATGAAGAAATAATTAGTACAGTACGGACATAATAACAAAAGATATATGGTGGCTTTTAACGAAGCAACAGCTTATCATAAGAGAAGTAAAAGTAACCATATAACTAGAAGAAATGAGGCTTGGGTACTCACAGTAAATAAATGGGTACAAGGGTTTTCCATAAATGTATTCGTGACTCCTCATTCCAATTTCCTAAATTTACACACTCTTCATCCCCAATTTTTTTTTCTTGGCTAAACAATAAGACAACTAGAATATTATAAAAATAAAATAAAAAATAAATCACAAAAGTAGCGCCGTGGGATGAAATCAATTGAGTCACACTCAAGATTAATCATTTATAGAACCTATTGTTCGATAATTATAGAAAGTTGGGTCTTGCATGCAAAACGCCTTGTTTGATTGTTCATGTATTTCTACCTCATTTATCATTGTATTCACTAGTTTATAATTTCTCTATTTCCTTTTACCTCCCTCCCTTAGTTGGAGTGGTTGTTTCTCATTGAAATCTCAATTCGAAAATTGATGAGTAGTGCAACATGATAGTTTTAATTTAAGTCCTTGTAATTTTCAAGCAAAGAAGAAATTCAAACAAATTCCAAAGACCGTTCAGTCTTTCTGGTGGTGACACTAGCTGACATCCTTTACTTCTTCTTTTTTTTTTTTTTTTTTTTTTTTTTTTTTTTTTTTTTGTGTGTGTTTGTATTAGACAATGATGGAGGGTTTTTGGCTAGTGGTTTAGACATACAACGTGGAACAAGGCACAGCCCAAATACAGACACAACTTAAAGTTAAATATTCTTGGACAAGTTTAGGTTAGAAACTGGAAAACTTATGTATAACAATTTTTAAATTTTATTTTTTATTTTTTTTATCATTATTATCCAAGGAAAGCTAGCAACAAAGAGAACCCTGAAATTTAGAGCTGCAGTCCATGTATATTATAAGCTAACAAATTAAGTTATTTGGAAGTTAACTGCTTAGAATTGCAAAATGGCATAGTAATTATATCAAATCACTTGATTATGACCACATTCTAAAAATTTGATTATATGATCCAAACAGTCATTTGGCCACTCTGGTCGCCCCTCAGGTCTTTTGAAAGGTTGCCAACTAACATCTGTCCTACTTCCCTGGAATCTAGCCAAACAAAGGGCAACCTACAGAAATAAATATATCTCTTGCAAAAGATGCAATTAAAACTGGCATCTACAACTACCATTATGACCTTGAAATTGATTGAATAGGGGCTTCTGACTTACTTGGAGATGTATCAGGTGCAATCAAAGCAACACCCTCACTTGAGGCAACACGTTGAGCTCCTGACTTAATTATAAAATTCTCATCAGTGCAGGTAAGGCCAGAGAGCCAGTAAAGTACCTGATCATCCATGAAAACAAAAAGTTAGTAAATTTGGTTATGGCACATTATAATACAAAAAATTTTACAGCAGCATACCAGGAAACAAATTTGGTAAATAACAGTCAACTACTACAGGAAGCATGGAAAAGTAGTTTATACTAACCAAACAATGCCCAAGGAAAATGATTATATGAAATGAATCAAGTAGTATTACATGCACCAATTATTATCCCAACTTTTTAATACCGACTGATGTGGCACATAGCATGGAAGCATACTGGTTGTAACTAAATCAGGTCCAAAATGGGCCCAATATAAACAAATGAAATGTTTCCACAGCAGATGGTTTTTAAAAAAATGGGATATAAGTTAGTGCCCCTATGACTATTGAATTAACAGCGTCTTAGCCAGTGATGCAGAAATAATTGGTTGCAAAAAGAAATAAGAAAGCTTCTTTTTCCCCATCCATGCACAATTTTCTCTTTAGTTAATTATACATTTGGATAATTCGTCACTACCTTTAAATTCCTTGTCAATAATAGTACTAGGAGATGACTAAGTTAGCAACTATAATAGTGCATGTAAGTACCAGAGGAGAGAACTAATTAAAGTTTTTCTGAATTTGATAAATTATTTGTCCTATCAAGACTCGGGGAGACTAAATTCAAAATTCTACAAAAGTTAAAATCCTTTTTTAATAAAAAAAAATATAGAATTAACCATTTGGGAAACTAAATTCCTATTTTGATCAATTGGGTGTGTGCCAGTGCTTGTTCATTCCATCAAGAAAATATTGCAGAACATATGCATCAAGAATAGAATCTTATTAAGCTAGATACCAAAAGAGCAAAACCTTCATCAATCAAAACCCAATATTCACAAATACAATAGATTCCACCCACATAACCCTAGGGTGTCAAAATCAGATAAAAACCCAGATAATAAATTTAATTGGACATGAAATTTAAAAAGAAGTTGGAAATGGGTATGAGAGAGAGAGAGAGAGAGAGAGAGAGAGAGAGAGAGAGGAGACTTACAGGGAATCGGTGGGAAGGAGAAGTAGAAGTAGGAGGGAAATAGATGTGGAAGGTCATGGAGCAGCCGAGAGTAGGACTGAAATGCTTGTACCTCTTGTTGTACCCTCCAAACATCTTTGAGCTGCTGATCTCACTTGGCTTCGTCTCCATTTCTCTCTGCACTTCTTTGCTCTGTGACTGGGGATTTCGCTTAAACTCTACTCTATATACTGCGGTGGTGAGTAAGCTCCGGAGTGGCAATTTTAACTTTATATATGCTAGCTTTGGTTTTCTTTTTATTTTTTTATTTTTTTTTTATTTTTAGAATAAAGAAAATATAATATGGATAGTTATGTTCTATAAAAGTATGACCTATTATCGGATTTTATTTTATTTTATATTTTTTTTAATATGAAAAAAATATGAATTTACCATATTATCCTCATTTAATGAATAATTTCAATTCTTAATGTTTAAATTAACCAAGAACATTTTCTAGTATTTTGAATGTTTTACCATTCTCTGTCTTTTGATTTATATATATATTAGCTAATAGCTAGTAAATTCACGTATTATATCCATATTTATATATATAAAGCAAAAGGCAGAGAATGGTGAAATATTCAAAATACTAGAAAATGCCCTTAGTTAATACAAACATGAAGAATTAAAATTATTAATTAAATAAGAATAATATGGTAAACTAGCCCCTTGGCACACGCTCATGCATGTGTCAATTGGTTTTCTTTTTTATTTTTATTTTTATTTTAGAATTAAGAAAATATAATATGGGTAGTTATGTTCCATAAAAGTAGAATCTATTATTTGATTTTGTTTTTAATTTTAATTTTTTTAAAATATAAAAAAATGTGAATTTACAACATTATCCTCATTTAATTAATAATTTTAATTCTAAATGTTTGAATTAACCAATGACATTTTATGGTATTTTGAATGTTTCACCATTCTCTATCTTTTATTTTATATATATAGATTCACACTTTTTCATATTAAAAAAATTAAAAGAAAAAGAAAAATAAGATAATGGATCCTATTTTCATGAAACACAACTACCCATTATCTTTTTAATTCCAAAATAAATTTAAAAACATCTCGCAGGCGTCGAAGCGCGTGCGGAGAGGCTTGTATATATATATATAACAAAAAGGAGAAAATGGTAAAACATTCAAAACACCAGAAAATGCCCTTGGTTAATGCAAACATTAAGAATTGAAATTATTAATTAAATGAAGATAATATGGTAAATTCACACTTTTTCATCATGAATAATCATCAGTTCGGCATGAATAAACAAGTTATTTTTAATCTCTATCTTCAAGTAGCATGATAGGATAAATTCAACAATTTAACACTTCTTTGAGTATCAAGAACTCATAAGAAATCATTAAAAAAAAAATTTAATTTAAAAAATAAAAGAAAAATCAGATAATTGATCATATTTTGATGGAACACAACTACGCATTAATTTTTTTAATTCTAAAATCATTTTAAAAAATTTCTAAATAAAACCACTCGCAGGCACAGAAACGTGTGTAGAGAGCCTAGTATGTATTTACGTATTTTATTATCCTTGTCTATTGAGAACTCCTATTAGATATGAAATGGATTTCATTGTTTGGACTATTCACATTTGACGTAATTATCCCATTTGTTTTGAAATTTTTTCTTAAATGAGGACAATTTTGGGTTATTCGAAAATTTAACCAATCTTTTGCTATATTGCATACACTAACCAGTTAATAAGTTACTACGATATTAACCACTTGTTTACCCGTTTTATGTTTACTCCTGAGGTGGAAGAGCAAAGTTCTCCACTACCCTGGAAACCATTGACTGGTCAACAAGTTAGCTTTCTTTGGTGTATGAGCGTGCCATTGCTAGCAATGAAGATTCTAGCAGACTTCTTCTAGAATAGATAACTTGCGCCCCAAGTTACTGATTTCTAAAACAAACGATTGTGAATTTGGGTGAGGAATATCTCCCAAGTAAGTTCTTTTCTTGCCTCATACTCGTGAGGACTTTCACAATTTATCTCAATATAAAAACGGTTGTTCTGGACATAATAGTTGATAGAAATTAGACTGTTTTAGGCAGAACTGTCATTTACAAAACTATAAATATACATGTCAACATTGGAAAGACAAAAAGACAGCTGGAACTCCATCTCTGTCTGGATAGAAGACTCTGATCCGGGCTGGACTGGATATGTCTGGGCTGGACTGAACTGTCAACAACTTCAACTACCAAGCTTCAGCTACAAATCGATACCAAAGTTCAAGTTTGGCAGAGCTTTAATCCACTTCAAGCTTTGAGAGGCTTTTGAGCGGGCAGAACTACAGTTTCTTCAGTTTGAATGGGCAGAAGTGACTGTTCTTGAGGATTTAATGAGCTAGAGACTGCACTATGAGATTTGTTGAGGTTTTCATGTTTAGGAAAACTCAAACTCTGCTTGTTTTGGCTTTGCTGAACCAAATTTGTAACGAGAGAGATCTCATTTTGAATGGTTAAGTCTGAACTTTGGGAAATCTGATCTAAAGCTGGTTTTTCTTGGAGTTCAAGTGAGCGTTTGGTTGATTTTTGAGTTATTTGTTTGATTGATGAAAAATGATCCTTTTGCCATGTTCACTCCCTCTTACATTTATAAGAAAATGGTTTGGAGTAGGTAATAATGGGCGGCAAAAATTCTTTCAAAAAGATCTTTCAGTTTTAAAATATAAAGAAGAGAGGGCTCTTAATTAACTTTGGCAGATAGGTTTTCAACAGTCAGTTCTTAAGATCACTTCCCCGTTTTCTTGAAAGATAACCTAACCCTTCTTTAAATTCTAACTGCCCCTTTGTGAGAGCTCGAATCGTGATGGTTAGTTTGATTTCTCAGATGAACAACTCTCTGTCCTCCTGCTTATCTCATTTTTGAAAATATGGTCTGCGTATCTCTTGAAAGGATGGTGCCTCCTTGGAGTGAAATCAATATTTTTGAATATATAAGAAGGATTTTGATCTTCTGGTGGCAGAAATTCAGAGAAGCCCTTTTGCCACTGACCTGCTTTAATTAATTCCCAATCAACTCAGTTGAGTTTGTTGACTTTTTCATTTTGGTAGTCACATGAGTTCTGAAAATAGGTCTCTTCCTTTTTTTCTTTTAATCATGCTGGGCCCATTCTGGTTTGTCTGGAGCCCAAAGGTGACTGCTTTTCTTTTGGGGCCCAAGTTTGCTTGCCACATTTTGATGAGTCTTGGGCTGGGCCTCTCTGGACTTTGGGCTTCGCCTTCCGTTTTGCAAAAGCCCAAACTGCTTGAGTCATGTAGCTTTTATTCTGGGTCTTCTCCGTGTTGGGCTGGGTGCGTTCACTTTAGGCCCAAACACCACTTATATGGGCTTACTCCACAATGTCATCTCATGATCTAAATTATTCATTTTTTAGGGCATAATTCAAGGATAACCCTTGCAAAAATTACTCAAAGTGAACAATATTGAACATTGGACTTTCAAAAATGACATTAAGGGCCACTTTTTTTCATAAAGAATATGACGTGAAATGATCAAATGGACTGCTCAAGGATTATATGAATATGTTAATGGGGAGTTTTGTATAGTTTTTAGGAGAAAATTGAGCGCAAATTAACATTGTCTATACTTGATATAGTTCATAGGGGAAATTGTGAGCATCTAGTAGTAGCAAACCAAACTTTTTAAATTGAAGTTTGTTGATGTCACACTCATGCCCTCATGGTTTTGTTTTTGGGAACTTACGAGCAACTTCTCAATGAGTTACCTATCTTGGGATTGCTCTACCCCCAACTCGCTTAACTTCGGAGTTCCCCCGACTCCGATGTCAATGAGCTCCCAAAAGGCCTTGTGCTAGATGGAAGGGCGTGTACACATAAGGCACATCACCCCCTCTCCGTTGGTCGATGTGGAATGTTACAATCCACCCCCCTAATGGGCCCAATATCCTCGTCGGCACACTCGCACCACACGGCAAAGTGGCTCTGATACCAAATTGTCACATCCCGAGATCGGTTATGCCGTAACACGATATTGTCCGCTTTGAACTCCCCTATCTGCCCTCACGGTTTTGTTTTTGGGAACTCATGTGCAACTTCCCAGTGGGTCACCCATCTTGGGATTGCTCTAGTCCCAACTTGCTTAACTTCAGAGTTCCCCCAACTTCGAACCCAGTGAGCTCCCAAAAGGCCTCGTGCTAGATGGAGATGGGCATGTATATATAAGGCACATCACCCCCTCTTCGTTGGTCGATGTGGGATGTTACAGTTGACCCATGTGAAAATTTGAAAATGTTTGTTTACTACTACTTAATAATTTGTGCCCAATAGACTCTTCAATTCAATTAATGCAGTGTAGGTTTTTAGCATTTTCAATGTAGTTTTTGTTCTTCCAAAACATAATTAAATGTTTTGAAGAGTTAAGATCAACTTATCAATTTTGAAGAGAGAGAAAGGGGTTGCAGCTTTGGTGATTGAGTTTGACAAATTCGTTGAAGAGAGTTATGTTGATGTGGCTCACTTACTTTAGCATTCCAAATCTATTAAGAGGCTGTTAAATGCTATTAGTATTACCATATATATTTTTGAATTTTCCAACTCGAATTTCATGACTCACACCTTGAATAATTAGATTTAACATCTATTTTTTTCCTTCTTTTTGGGAAAAATGTTGTGCCTACGATGTCATTTAAGGGACACCAACAAATTAATAGACTTATATGGGCTTACCCCACTATCATATTCTTAATAATTCCATTTTAGAATAAAGTGGCCTCTTAGTTATTTCACATCATATTCTTTACAAAAAGTGGCACCAAATGTCATTTTTGAAAGTTCGGTGTTCAATATGGTTATGATATTTTGATGTTTAGGTTCTCATAGACCTAATAAAATTTTCCAGCGACTGTGACCCCCCCAAAAAAAAAAACCAAAAAAAACAACACCCTATGAGCAATAGTGAAAGACCAGCTAACACGGGGGATGGCCGCATGTGATAAAACACAGACCAAAATCATCCAATATTAATGACCGTTGGGGAGGTTGGCACAAGCCAAAACCTATTAATGACACGCAACTCGAAACCTCAACTGTACCAATTAATGCCTTTTCCAATCTCTATTGTCACGCTTTCTCCCTTCAATGATTCAATCACAGCTTCATCATCATACCTTTATTTTCTCACCTCCATTGCACTCTCTGGTGCCTAGCTAGTAGCTAGCTTCAACTTCTCAGCATTATATCCACCGCCAACTACAATGCCTGCCCTTGGACGGCTAGGAATTTAAGTGAACGACCCAATACACTTTTATGACCAAAGCTTTGTAGTTTCCGACAAGGTTGGTATTATTGATCTCTCTCTCTCTCTCTCTCTCTCTCTCTCTCTCTCGTTTCTTTATTTAATTGCTAACTTGTACCAAGTGTTTTTGAAGTTTATGGTTGGGTAGTTGAACAACCTCAGGCGGACATAACAAGGATGTATTTTGAATATTTGGGTTTCTTTTTTTGGCATGTTCTTTGAAACTCTTAAACAGAGAAAGAGACCTGCATGCATAAAAATCCTTTTTCTTGTTTGTCTCAGTTTGCTGAATTTGGGTAGGAACAAAGCTTGATTGGTGGGTCTGAAAATCTGAGTGAAAATACCAAATTCAGTGCTATTTATTGGAGCCAGATTTTTGTCATTTCAAGCATAGATTTCAGCAGTGTGTATAGGGAGAGAGATACATATAAAAATCTAAGTGGGTTGTTCTAGAGATCCATCTAGAGATTGGTATTATAGAAGAACCTGTATACAGTAAGTGCATTTGGTTGATACCTTAGGGGAATTTGAGTTTTCTCTGTTATTGTTGATAGTGTGATTTTACTTGGATATAGATGGTGGGGAGCATTGAGACTTTGAATCGTAATTTGTACTCAAATGGATCTATTCAGAACTGTAATAGTTTGGAAGAGAAACTTGATGAGCTACGGAGCCGCCTTGGCAAGGGTAATGGTGATCCATTAAGAATTGTTGGTGTTGGGGCAGGCGCTTGGGGCAGTGTTTTTGCCGCTGTGATGCAAGATAGCTATGGTCAGTTTCGAGACAAGGTCCAAATAAGGATATGGAGAAGACCAGGAAGAGCTGTTGATAAAGCAACGGCTGAACATCTTTTTGAAGTGATCAATTCAAGGGAGGATGTATTGAGGAGGTTGATACGGCGCTGTGCGTATTTGAAATATGTGGAGGCAAGGCTGGGGGATCGAACACTTTATGCAGATGAGATTTTGAAAGATGGATTTTGTTTGAACATGATCGATACGCCACTGTGTCCTTTGAAAGTTGTAACCAGTTTGCAGGAGGCTGTTTGGGATGCTGATATTGTGGTGAATGGCTTGCCTTCTACTGAAACACAAGAGGTGTTTGAAGAGATTAGTAATTATTGGAAGGAAAGAATCACAGATCCTATTATCATCTCTCTGGCAAAAGGTATAGAGGCTGCGCTAGAGCCTCTCCCGCATATCATAACTCCCACGCAAATGATTAACCGAGCAAGTATGTTTATCTTCTTTTAAATTTAACTGTGAACCTCTGGTATCTTGGCTTTAAATTTTCAGTGAGGTGGAAAAAAGGAAGGATAGATGGTTTTTTTGGTTTGGTTTTATCTTTATCTGATATAGTAAATGTGAGTCAATTTTGGGGAGTGGACAATCTTATAAAACTTTGCAAGTAAATGTGAAGGTTTTATCTTTAGCCGAATTAGTAAATGTGAGTCAATTCTTGGTGTTTGTTCCAAAATGTTTTCTTAAAGAATGATAACTTTTCCAATCTTATGTTATATTGAAGTCCTGATCAAAACACAATCAAGAAAAAACTATTCTATATAAGGAGTTTTACAAAATCTATCAAGCAGAAAAAACCATTCTGCTAAAAAAACTCTATAAACCGTCAACGAAAATGGAGCCTCAAGAAAAAATTGAGCTTATCAATACAAAAGCTGGAGAAATACAATCAGAAATGTAGACTCTTTAGTGCACCCAAAGCCGGGTTGGTATGCTTGATAAGATAGAGATCAAGGGACAAATTCTTCTTGTTTTGTGTGTATCATGAAGTGGCATCTTACACCTTACACCAGATGATGTATGCTGATTGTTTAAACTGATAAATATTAGGTTTGCTTCACAAATTTAATTTCATATTCTTTTCTATATGCCTGGCAGCTGGTGTACCTATAGAGAACATACTTTATCTGGGTGGCCCAAATATTGCCTCAGAGATCTACAACAAGGAATACGCTAATGCTCGAATATGCGGAGCTGAGAAGTGGAGAAAACCACTTGCAAAGTTTTTAAGGCAACCACATTTTACCGTCTGGGACAATAGTGATCTTGTTACACATGAAGTCATGGGTGGCTTAAAGAACGTCTATGCCATTGGAGCAGGTAAGTCTCAGGTTCATTCTGATAAATATATTTCATACAATAAATGCAGCATCTAAATCGTCCAACCTCTCAAATCTAATAAAAAGAAATGAGATGTCTGATATTCTGCTTTGTAATTGGTGTTCAGCTTCATTTAAGTAGTGGTAACTGTTGTTCAGCTTTTCGGAGCTTCATACACCTGATACTGTATAAATGAGGACAGATTTGAAGAAGTAGTGATTTCGCAAATGCTAAGAGGGATAAGTTTAGATTTAAATAAGAGGTTATCCTGAATCCCTGCCCTGATTGATGAGCTGGCATTACAGTTTCACATGGAATAATTACAATTGGCTGTTCATACACTGCCAGAAAATTCTTGCCAGGACAAACATGAAATTTGTTGTATGAGAACAGTAGTTGGCCTACGTTCTTATAGAAGCTTCTGGGAATAGTGATAAATCAATAAAATCTAAAGTTATATGCTATAATATTGGATTGGAATATCATAGCATATTATAAATGAATTCTTCTGGTTTGCAACTCACATCTGTTTTTCATTTTGATTATCTCAGGGATGGTCGCAGCCCTCACAAAGGAGAGTGCTACCAGCAAATCTGTATATTTTGCACATTGTACCTCAGAGATGATATTTATTACTCACTTGTTGGCAGAAGAGCCTGAGAAACTTGCTGGGCCTTTGCTGGCTGACACATATGTAACCTTGTTGAAAGGCCGTAATGCATGGTACGGGCAAATGCTAGCCAAAGGGGAACTAAATCGGGATATGGGTGAGAATATCAGTGGGAAAGGAATGATTCAGGTACCAATTGTGAATTACTCTTTCCTTCTAAAACCGCTGTAAGATGCATTCATTTTAAGCTATAAAGGCATTCACCACATTTAGAAAGCGATGGTACTAGTTAGGGTGCGTTTAGAACCAGCCTGAAGAAGGAACAAATGCTCAAAATCATGATACTTATATTGGTTTATTTGGAACTGTGAAATAAATCTTTTAGATGTAAAAAAATTTTATGTTCGTCCACACTGCCTAATTATTAGCAAAAACAATGATACAATTTATACTGCTATAGTGAAGATAGATAGTTCTCACTCAATGCTGGAAATGACTCATGCAGATGGGAAAGAAATGTGTTTTTATTCATTTATAAGTTATCAATAATTTCATTTCTCATTTTTCTGAGCCTCTCTGCTCCTAGGGTGTCTCTGCAGTCAAAGCATTTTATGAACTTCTCAGTCAGTCGAGCCTAAATGTATTGCATCCTGAAGAAAATAAGCCAGTTGCTCCTGTGGAGCTCTGCCCCATCTTGAAGACGCTATATAAAATATTGATAACAAGGTAATTTCTGGCCAACTCGTAATCCATTTTCTTACCTGAAGGCTTTTATTTTGTCAAACATAAGGGATAAAAAAATATTCACCATTATACTAAAGAGGCATTTGTGTGATCCAAAAGATCACCCCGCATTACTTGGTATAACCTAAATCTTGTTTGGCAGTTGTCTTGACCTGGCACAAAGTTCTGTGTTCCTCCTCCCCTTCTATTCCTAAATGTTGTGCCTATGCATCTGCAAATTAAGGCTAGATTGTGTCTTTTCTGTTAATTTACAAGTATATCAATTCAACCATGCATATTGCTTGATCTCCAGGGAGCAATCATCACAAGCTATTCTTCAAGCTTTGAGGGATGAAAACTTGAATGATCCCAGGGAACGCATTGAGATTGCACAGAGCCATGTCTTCTATAGGCCCTCACTTCTTGGGCAGCCTTTGACTAGTTTTCCATTGCAAGATAAAGTGGCAATATAACCTTGTGGAAGCACGGTATTATTGGACTTGCATGGTGAAAACAAGCGCATTGGTTTTTGATACATGTTTAATTTGATAAATATATATATGTTAAATGGACTTATTTTTAGCTTCCTAAGGATATGATAGTTGAGTGATGGACTGAAGAGGAGCAAGTGGTTGTAATCTGCAATCTGCAAACTGTTTGGTGGCTCTGGTTGATTTGCATGTAGCACACTAATGCAATGGCAAACCCGAAAACTTCTCTATAAGGTGCAGCAAACCGAAACTTCTCTACCCTTGTTTTTCCGCTGTGAAGTTGCCGTCAGCCCAAGTGATTTTCATAACTGCTGAGTTTAAGAAGTTGCAATTGCCAAGAAGGTTGTATAGGGAGCTGGATTTACATTGTATTGTGCATTATATTATAAGATGCAAAAAACGATGTATCTCATATTTGTATAGACCTGCCATGGAAACAGAAAAACTTCCTTTTCACCTCTTTTTCTTATGTGTGCACTCCTGCCTCAAATAGTTTATGTGCTTTTATGTGTGTGTACATAATACATATACAGTGAATTAGCTCGAAGCACTTGGAACTGGAAGAATGTAAAATCTTTCTTCTTCTTCTTTTTTTTTTCTCGTCAATAGCAACGTGATATATCACCAAGTTGATCAAAACCTCGGTCCAAATCCATTGAAAATAACTTCCATGAAATCCCAATAGGCCCAAGCAAAGGACTCTAGGTCTTGATTTTGATTGTTAAGCCCCTCTCAAAGACATACTTTTGTCATGTGTGGCAGAAGATCCCTCGTCGCTGATAGCAAGTGTAGGCTTGAACATTTTTGTAGGGTTTGGGGGCTGTACTTTGATCTTGTATGGGAAATCCAAGAAATATACCAGTCATTTTTTAAGAGGGAATGCCAGGGCACAGGAACTTGGAGGTGGTGTTGGTGTTTAGGCCCAGGTTTTGGGTTCACCCGTCACACTGAAAAATTACTTGATTTCAAGAAGAGCAAAGTCATTCTGGCCCCCATGCTACCCAAATCCTTTCTAGCGGAAAAGATACGCAGCGGTAAGGGAGGGCACGATTAGCAGATTGAGCCATATCAATTCTTCTAACCCTACTAGTGTCTTTTCAAGGTAGATGATAATTGAGAAAGTAAAGAACAAAAAGGGCACAAGAGAGGAGGGATTAAAAAACCACGAAACTAAATACCTAGTAGTGGCAGATAGCAATACTTAATCATCTTCCAAACTTGGAGATTCTATACAACCATGAATCTTCAACCCTTATGTACCACTTCTCTAATGACGATGGAGTTCACCAATACAATGGGCTTCGCTTCTATTAAGAGGTCGTACACAAGATGGTCTATGTACCATTTCCCTTGTTATATTGCTACATTTTAAAACCGCACATCAACCATGGGATCTGGGTTGGGAAGTGTACAGGTAGCAGACATATACGGACACTTGAGCTTGCAATCAGTTGCGTTTAGTTACATTAATTTTCGTTAATGTTCTGAATTCAAGGTAAAATCATTGTAAACTAGAAAAATAAAATTTATCGTCCTTGTCCAGCAAAGAGCCAGTGCTTGATAGATATAACAAAATGTCTGCCCCAAAAAAAGAATGATCCAAAACAAACCGCCATTACACTCTACTGCTAGAAAAATAATCATAAGCTCCAAAACACGTTCTGCTCAATAAAATACGAATGGAATATGAATTAAATAGCAAGGTTAACAGAAATGAAATAGTTGTACACTGTCAAAATTATGACCGGACCATTCCAGTAAACACATGATACATACAACAATTTATAGCACAGAAAATTCAGGCCTGATTAGTGATATCCATAGCTTGCAGTATGATCCGGTAAAGGCGGTTTGCTTTCTTTTCCTCTCAATGGCAATACAGTCTAACCACTGAGTCTGCACCCGCAGTGAACAACCATGGCTGCCTTGGATGGAATTTACAGTCCATTACACCTGCATACAACCAGTCAATAAAAGATTTAGGTTTTATTTTCAGTTTGAATTACACCCAGAAACTGAGTTGACTATAAATTTGGCCTGAAACTCGGAATGTTCTATTCACCAACTCCTAAAAGCATATTATCAAATCCAAATTCTAGAGAAGGGACCTTGAACATATCATACGTTAAAAAACATTCACGCTGGTGAAAGTGTGTTTAATACGATGCCCAGCATTCAGTAAACCTTTTTACCCAATCACTGGCAGCATTTCTTTCATCTTGTTAAAATACCCAACAGAATACAAACAAAAGAAAGCTATAGGGCGCACCTCTCCCATTTGTGCTCGAATGACCTCGGAGTATTTCCAATGGAACAATAAGAGGGTTCTGGTTAAGATCTGAATAAACCATGCCATGGAAAACATATGCGGTGCAATCATCTGAGCATGTTGCAAACAGAGGGTACGAGCGATGGAAAGACACATTGTTGATGTCCTTCTGATGCAACCTGATAAATGTTCAAAATGTCAGAAGAAAAAAAATATATGAGCAAAAATCAGGCAAATAGAATTTGATGTGTATGCATATTTGGTTTGATGTTTGTGTATCTATTAGATAACATCTTCCAGAAATCTACGCATTATCCATTTCAGAGATTGTAAAATTTAAAGTAAACCAGTGCCTTGCAAGAAAGTATTAACCCCCTCTCCAAACAACCAAAAGAAAAGACCCTACAATTCATTTATTTATTTTGCATAATTATTTGAAAAAGAAATGTCTGACATACTTGAGAGTTTTGTAGGGTTTAGATGAAAGGTCCATGTCGAACCAACATAGTTTTCCTTCTCCACTCCCCACAATTATATGATCACCTGCATTAACAGTACAGCCCAGATAAATCAGAGTACCGTTCACACACAACTGTTACAAAGAATAGAACAAAGAATGGACTCAATCCATTCAGTTGAATATAGTTAGCAAAATTTAATTAATAAAAAATAAATAAATATAATAATAAAAACTACCAGAAGGATGAACTGCCATAGAGGAGATTTCACGTAGTCCAGTCTCAAGTTTTTTGACAAGCTTTCCCTCCTTCACCAGATCGTAAACACGAATAATCTTCTTTGTTGAAATGAAGAAGAAGGAACGTGTAGGATGAAAAACCGAAGTAACTGCAGGCCCTTGCAACTTGAATGAAAGTGTCTGGGTAAACTTCTTAGAGAGCTTGTGTATAAAAATAGCTCTTGATTCACGTAAAGCCAAAGTCAAGAAAATCCGAGGAGATGACTAATTTGATATAACTTTGTTTTGTTATCAGAAATTTAATAATAACTCATATACAAACAACAAATATAAACCTCATTTCCCATACATGTCTAAGAAATAAAAACACATACCTAAACCCATCTGTGTCGTGCTTAAAGTAGCATATAATATAAAAATATGTGTATATATGTGCAAAAAGGATATCCGCTGGCATCACTGTCGAAAAGTAGTCTCCTTTACGATGCCATTCTACTGAAGTCACGGTCTGCAGGAGCCCAACAAAGAAAGCAGTTAGAATTCTTTGTAGAAAGACCAACCTTCTAATCTTGACTTCAGCTTAAGAAACTTATAAACTTGCACAACCACAAATAACTTGGTGAAGGAAAAGGCCAAGTACCTTGGAGTGCCTTAACCTGATTCCCTCGAGTTTATCATCTTGAAGCCAGCTTACACTGGATGCTGTTTTGCCTATGTAAGCAGAACATATTTTGCGAAGGTTAGAAAACATTCATTTGATATATGATACTGAAAGCTATGACGATCACACACTGACCAGAGTCATCTGGCATAGGCATCTCAACAGAGAGAAGTTCTTTAGTACTTTTCTGTACTTCTTCATTCCCACAACCAGTGTTCAAAAGAAGTACGTCTTGTCCCCTAAAATTTACCGACAGTTAATTTACAGTTAGGTAGCAGGATCCCCAGTGAAACAAATGTAAATGAAAAATAAACCCAAAAATAAATGCAGCCTTACGCAGAGACAGCCAGTATAGAATGCTCGGGATTAGGATTCCAAGAAACATATTTGACGGCTTCATCAATCTTCCAGTGTTTTAGACATCTACCAGTTTCAACCTCCCAAATACGCACGGTTCCATCCAATGAACCTGTAAGAAGAACAGATGATGAGACCTACATCTGATTTCAATTATGTTACTGAATGCAGCAAAGAATTAAGAATGCCATCCACACCTGATGCAATCCACTGCCCTGAAGCTTCTACAGAAATTGATGTAACTGCATCTTCGTGACCTCTATACTCAAGATAACATGATACAGGGTAAGGCTTGAGATCATTTCGGTTTGGTAGCTTGGGCTTCAGAGACTCAGGATCGATATTGAGCTGGAACATAAAAGGATATACTTTGAATAATTTGATCCTTGTCCTCATATGACTATAAGTAGATTGTACAAATTGAAACATCTTGCAAAACAATCAAAACCTGAACAAATAATCACTGTGGAATCTTTTCCTCAATCAGGATTATTCACTTACCCGTTTTTTCCGGACTCTGGGGCACAAATATAGATCCAAACATCTTTCAAAGCATTCCTTAACAGCATTCTCATATGCAGGGATGCTTCTCATAGATGTAAACCTACCAAATATGATAATAGTGTGCTTATGAGATGCTGTAATATCAGAAAGAGTAGCAAATTATGATTAGTCCAAATTTCAAGTCATATTGAATATTACCTTTTAGGAATAAATTTAGGACGGTCTTCCTCGTACATTAACTGATAAGAATTGATCTCTTCTTGTGTTGGGATGTATTCTAAAGAAGGATTGAAGGACTCCTCATGACCTAAATGCAAAAAATAATTTTAAGCTTTCCATCAAGTCTCAAGTTACTTCATGCCAGCAAAAAAGAATTGCTCTGTATCTGACTTTTCACAATCCTCAGAATATGGAAGAAAATTAATACCAGGCAATTTTGGTTTTGGTGCAGGAATGTAAGATAGATGATCGTTCTTTCCCGTTGAATTAGAGTCATCTCCCCACAAGGGATAAACACTTTCTTCTTCTTCTTCCTCCTCTTTGGACTTTTTAGGCTTAATTAAACCCTTACGAATGGCCAACTTGATCTTATTAACCTGTAGATTCATCATAAGAAGTGCAGAAGATGAACAGGAAACCATGTTAAATTAAAATAATAATAATAATAAGTTTTCCAATCAAACAAACTCTAGTGCATTTGTTTAACTCAGCAGCTGAGTTGAAAAGAAAATAAAACTACAGAAGAAAGAAAAAGGAAAGAAAACACCCATCAGGAGCAATACATTAAAAATGCCTTACCAGTTTACTTTCAGATTTTGAAGGAATGAATCGTCTCTTGGGTTCAGGTGCATTTGACAGTGGATGCTTGGAGTCGTCCCATTTAAACCAATCAACATATGGCTGCACTTGAAACATGGAGAATTTTACTTCAACTTAAAATGAGGAATTCATTTGTAAGAAAGTTCCTATAAATAGCCATGTACTACAGTCATATGAATATTACTATTTAAACAATGAGAATATCATATTAATTAGAATTGGATGAGTGTTATCTACACACCGCATAAGGATCAAAGTCACGATGCGGAGCCTTTCCTTTGAGCAATCTACTTATAGATTTGATATCTTCTTTCGTGAGTTCTACATCCTCATCATTATATTCATCATAAATTTTGCGCCTGAAAAGTAACAAAACCAGAGTAAACAATATACACTTGAAAATTGTAGATATTTAACATCCTTTAATTGAATGCTATCAACATATTAGAAATAAAAGCACACCAGTTCTTTGAATCATCGGCACTAGCAAGAAAGGATTGCAATTTATCTTCTTTTTCCTTCTTCTTTATCTTCTTCCCTGTAATGTCATAACCAATATGTTTCTCATCCCGATACCACTCCAAGGGGACATCACCAACTGTATTTCGAGGAACCACCTATTAAAAACAGAAAAAACGAGAGAGAAGTCACTTGAGTGCATTCAGGTAACTATGCCATATAAAATCAAATCACATTTAATTTGCTTATGACAAGAATAAAACAACAGACCTCATCTTCAGAGGAATCACTCTCCTCAACTCCTTCATGAAGTTCAGAACTATCACTTTCGTCATCATTACCATGATCATTGTTGCTTGTGTTGAGAACGTCCTGCCATGGTTATAGTTAAAAATATTAACACACAGTCAAAACAACAAACTTCTCGAATCAAACCGGCTTCATTGTTCTACCAAATCGTGGAAATTAATCTTACCTATAGTGTAGCTTTATAATATTTGAAATCAAAATAACAGCTAAAATGGCATGGAAAAATAAGCCATATCTTTACATCTTTAAACCTTTTTTTTCCTTCATATTTCCACTAACCTCATTTCCAGAGGAACCACTCTCTTCATCTTCTGATTCTGAGCCTCTGATTGATGGATAATCATCCGAGTCATATCCTTCGCTATCAGACATATCCTATAATCACAACAAGAAGCAAAGTTTCGGAAAAAAAGAAGATAAAAGCATACGCCTAGCCAGAGGAGAGAAGCTGAAAATGGATAGAAGCAGGGGAGAAGAAATTGAAGGCACACCTCCGGTTTTCTGGTGCAGCGGCTGCAAACTCCTCTCTTCTCTTTCTCCTTCTCTCTCTTCCCCTTCTCCTCAATCAGAGACTATGAAAACTGAAAAACCCTAAACCCAGGGTAAGAGAAGAGACGAGAGAGGCTTTTCGGCGAAAATTCTGTGGTACATCAGCTGTACCGGTACAACCAATCATCCAAGGGCTCATATTTTATTTTAAAAATCAAGGGCTGAGATTGAATGACCTGATGACTTGTTTAGCCATTTTTCCTAAGGAGCACGTGAAATACACGTGACTTAGAAAACAAAGAATAACCCCTCGCATGCACTGGGGCTGCTTCATCTCATCTCTGCGATCTCTCTCTCGGAAATCCAAGCTTCATCTATGTCCCCAGATCGGAATCTGGTGCCCACGCCGAGATGCAACAGCCAGCGGAGAGGAGATAGAGAGACAGCGGTGCTTCGAAGGCAAAAAGGTGTCAGTTCAGAAGACTAGGCCGAAGCTGACCTCGCCTACGTCCTCCGCCACTTCACTCGCGCTTTCAAGTACCGTGGCCTCGGAAACGAGGTCTCATATTCAATTCCACTCTTGTTTCCTTTCTTTTGTGGAAAAAAATTCATCATATTATGCTAAATTGTTTTTAGCAGTTTTTGGAGGTTAGAGATTTGGGGAACTTAATTGGGTTGTACACCGAATGGCACTCACGTTTGCTCCCATATTATTCTTTTGATCAGTTTGTTCATGAGATGAGGTCGAACAGGTTGCCGCCACTAGACAAGTAAAAGTACTGATCTCTCTGTCTTTTTTATTTATTTATTTATAGCAGTCGAACAAGGCTCTCCAAGTGATCAACAGGGTATTATGCTCTGTCATTATCTCATTTTTGTATAATAGCTCGAATTCAATAGTGTCTCAGCTCTAGTGGCTTAGGCTACAGCTTGAACAATGTATTGAGTGCATATTGCCTGAGTTGTTTGGTATTAATTGGAAGGATTGAAGGATGCAATTACTCTACTATTGCAACAAAAGACCTGTCAAGAAAATTGAAAAAAGAAAAACAGTTCCTGTGTAAAACCTTTTTTTGGTGTAACAGACTGATGAGAAAAGTAGTTACATATTCATTAATAACTATGGTAATGGAATCCTTAGAGGTTGAGGTTGTAACTCAGTTAAGAAATTTTTCATATAGACTACTTTTACCATGATGTTAGGATGCTACGATAATGGATTGGCTACTGAGTGGAGCATGAATAATGCTGAGAGAGGAACATCATTGAACCGGAGATTAGTTGTTCTGAGTTCACATGAAAGATGTCAGGGAGAATGATATTGATAAGTGGAAATCTACTGCCAATAATTCTATGTTACTTCGTTTTTGAAAAAATAATAATAATTAAGTTGGAAGGTCTCCTTTTCTTTATGAAATAATTTAATTAGAAGTTTTTGGGTTCTTCTTCAGAATTTGTTATAATATTTGTGTTTGATCAATGATATTTGAACTATTCGCTTTGGAAACAACCACTGCTTTCTATGTTCCCATTTAAATATTGAATCCTTTTAAATTTCTTGGGGTTTATATATAACTCGGTTTGTTATTAAGTATTTGCTTGTCTTGAGCGTTTACCACTGAAAGATAACCCTCAAAGGATTCTTTGAAGAATTATGAAGGGCATTTCATTAGAGAATATTGTTAGAAAACCTTGTAAAGTTGACGTTTCACTGAACAATACAGATGCATTTGTTGTCTGAATGAAAGCTAGCAGATTTAAGGTCCTTGAGAAAGATGCAGCTAGGCGCCGCCAATTGCAGGTGGCTTGAGGTTTTGGTTTTCTTCTGTTGTGTTCTAAATTATGTTTCATTGTGTTGAGCTGTGGATGGCAATTGAACTCATGGATATAGGCATCAAGGCAGAACGTTCTGTCTTGATATTCTTTCTTTGTACGACAAAGTTTTTTGTCATATTTACACAAGTCGATCTCTTTAATAGTTGATCCATTACCAATAGTTACATGTCGGTTTTTAATTTGATGTAACAGTTTATTTGCAATTGCATACCCGAATATGTAATTGCATACATTTTATGCAATAATTGATCCCCCTAAAACCAAAAGAAGGGTTGAATGCAATTTCATATAGTAAACTAAGAATTGCACATAGAGGTTACGAAATTGCATACTATGCAATTGCATATTGTAAACCGAGAATTGCACACATACCCTATCAAATTGCATAGGTATATGCAATTGCATGACACTACGAAAAATAACTACAGCTGCAAGTTCAACAATGTTTTAGGCTTTCATTCATGCTACAAAAGATGTAATAGGCGATATATGCCCACAAAAACCATTAAACATGGCTAAATAACTAAATAGTTTATTTACCCCTTGAACTTGTACTCATTTTTCAATTTACCCCATAACTTTTTTTTTCAGAAAATTAAGGATATGAATTTTTCTTTTTCGTCAATGTCCCCTTGTCGTCTAATCCTAACATTTCATCCAATTTGCCGTTAAATATGAGGGCAAATTGGTTATTTCGTAAGTTAAAAATAATTAAATAATTAAATAATTAAAAAATAATAATATGAAAGGATGTTAAACATATGCCCTAAAGCCAAACATGTGATGTTAATTTCTGGATATTTCACCATCTTTTGTGGGCAAAATTGTTGTTTTCAACTATAATATATAGTCTATAATTATAACAGTAAAATAACAAGTCCTTGAAATATGATTAGTATGAGGGCTATTAAATGAGATTGGATATAAGAAGACCTCTCATATTTTCACATCATGGTTTCTGTTCGTATATTCGGGATGGAGATCAGTGACCTCACAATGGAGCTCAATGTCTTGGGTTGCCATTACCATTTCGACGCTTTTATTGGAAAATCTGTAAGTGTATGGTTCAAATGGAATGTTCATGATTGGTATTGGTTGCTGTGATCGTCGTAATTACTATATATTGGTTGCTCTGGCTAAGGGTTCAGGAAAAATGCAGTTAAGAAAAGTGCATTTTTGTTACACCGAAATATGTGTTTTAAATAGTAGTAGATTATTCGTATTGTCATGCAAATGAACACACACAAAAAAGAGGACATCTAGCCAAAAAGAGGAAATTTGGTGATCTTTGCATACATTATAAGAGTATGAGCCAATGAGCCTTCTAGTAAAAACAAAAAAAGTTAAAAACCAAAAGAATGGCGGAATGCAATTGCATATTGTAAACTAAGAATTGCAAACAGACGTTGCGAAATTGCATACATATATATGCAATTGCATATTTTAAAATAAGAATTGCACATAAAAGCTACGAAATTGCATACATGTATATACATATGCATATTGTAAATTGAGAATTGCACACATGTGCTATCAAATATGCGATACATGCTCACAAAAACCATTGAACATGGCTAAATTGTTGATTTAGTCCTTGAACTTGTACCCAATTTTAAATTTACCTCATGACCTTTTTTTATAAAATTAAGGATATGAATTTGTCCTTATCGCCAATGTCTACCTGTTGTTTAATTCCCTAACATTTTGTCCAATCTATCATTAAATATGACGACAAATTGGTCATTTCATACGTTAAAAATAATTGAATTATGTAAAAAATATATATATATATATATATATGAAAGGATGTTAAATATATGCCCTAAAGCCAAACATGTGATGTTGCTTTCTTTTCTGGATATTTCACCATCATTTATGGGCAAAATCGTTGGAATATGATTCGTATGAGGGCTATGCAATGAGATTGGATATAAGAAGACTTCTCATACTTCCACTTCATTTCCTAAACATTCATGGGCATAGGATTATCAATTGGGCATTGATCATAATAGAAAAAGTCCAATTTTCTTTTTCGTCAATTCAATGTGGCTCAATCAATCGACCATTAAATAATAATTTTTGTTGAAAGTTTTTTAATTTATATTTGTATCAACAATCATATGTTTGACCCATAGTTTGAAATATCGATAATATCAATAAAATATTGAGGGTATTTTGGTTTTTTCGAATCACGGATATTTCAGAACATATTCATGTACATATCGTATAAATATCGACAATATCGACTATAATATTGGAAAATATCGATGTCAATAATTTCGCTCACACTTCAGCAATATTTTGTCAAAATATTGGTGTAATATGGCAAAAAATATCGAAAATATCGATGTAAAGGGAAAAAAAAAAGGAAAAAGAAGGAAAAAAATGGAGAAAAAAAACACAAAGGGGACTTAAACCCCTCCCATTTTACTCCTCCGACACCTTAATCACCATATCACTTATGTTTTTGTGATAATATGCTAAAATATTTATATTTATATGGGTGGCATGTTAACAATTACATACAAAACTATTTTGGGGATTTATCATTTGATGACTACTCTTCACAATACACTTACTCAGCTCGCTGTATAATCAACTTAAATCAGTTAAATCTATCATGTAATGCATTTTCTTCTAATTTTTTTGATAAACTAATAGGTAATTGACTAAATAAACATTCTCCAAAGTTTCAATAAAAATTTCCAAGTTTTTCTTACAATTTCCTTGGGTTTTATTCAATTTTTATCGATATCGATAATATCCCGATATTTCCATCGAAATTTCCATGTTTTTGCACTATCGATATTTCCGATATCATCGATATTTTAGACCTTGGTTTGACCTAACTAAATTACTTTTTCAAATAAACAGGCTATTTGTTCACACAAACGCAGCGGTTGCGTTTGATGAGTAAAGTTGTCTGTTCCCTGGAAAAATGGACTCAACTGACTTACTTTTTCAAACAAACGGGCTATTTGTTCATATGAACGCAAGGGGTTGAGTTAGTTGAGTAAAGTTGCTCATTCCCAGGAAAAATGGACTCAACTAACTTACTTTTTCAAACAAACGAGGTATTTGTTCAGGCGAATGCAGGAGGTTGCGCTCGTTGAGTAAAGTGCTTGTTCCACGGAAAAATGTGCCCAACTAACTTACTTTTTCAAACAAACGGATTATTTATTCATGAGAACGCAAGAGGTTGTGTTTGTTGAGTAAAGTTGTCTGTTCCCCGGAAAAATGGACCTAACTAACTTACTTTTTCAAACAAACAGGCTATTTGTTCATGAGAACACATGGGGTTG